TTACGCCCTCTGAGTTAATATGATCATGCAGGAAATTCAATCGATTAATTATCGACATTTTAATTCCATTTTCCTACATAATCATCTGAGCTCAGGGACGAAAATATGTATTAGGTTCGATCCCACAAATGTAAGATTTATTTTATTTCGGAAAATTTTAGAATTGAGAAAAAAATAAACCGGGATTGAAGTTAATCTTATATTTGTGGAATCAGGCCTTAGAAGTACAGTTGCATTATGTACACATGCAATATAGGCCGCGTTCCAATATATACCACCAGTACTAAAAATCTGTAATATACATAAAGTATAGATTTTTAACTAATATATCAATACGAAGCCGTAGTAGCACTTTTTTACGTCAATTTAGGATAATATATTATCAATAAATGAATATGACATTGCACATACATGACCCTCTTTGCTCTGTCTAATAAAAAGAGATAGATGCTTACAGTACTTACATTATTAACATGTCAACTTATGTATCCAATATAGAAAATTGTATGTATATTATACTATGTGAATACACTCACACACACGCGAGCGCGCGCGCGCGCATGCATTATATAAACAGATAAAGGTTACTCATGTTGAGATAATCATGCAGATATTATCTATTATATTTATACGCAATATTAGAATTTTATGTACATATATTGTATAATGTGTGTGTATTCACATCGCACAAACATAACATTTATACATATAAAAAATAAGATCATAAAAAACCACAGCACAAGTTATAGTTTGTGATATTTAATTATTATTACATTAATTAACATTTATAATTCTAGCATTGTTGTAACATATATATAAAAAAACATTATTAGTGAACATAAATTATAATTATATTTTATATATGTATTATAATAACATATACACAATAATGTACGCAAAATATAATTTTAATATTACATATACCATTAATTCACTAACATGTCTACCATATATGCAATAATAGAATAATCTTTTGTATCATTGTGTGTGTACACCTATATTATAATACACATAAAATGTGATTGTAATTCGTATTCATGAATAACTTTTTATATACAACTGTAGGGATTCAACGATTAAGAGAAGAGCATATTTATCAATAAAGGATGTTTAATAATAAACAAGTCAAAATTAGACACAGAGAGTATTACAGAGATTCTCCTTTTTCCTTTTCCTTCTTTTTTCATCTCTCGTTGCCGTCGTCATTTATCTGCTCTCCACAATTCGGCCGTCCTGCTCCATTATCCGTGTCGAATCCCCTGGGTCTAAGTGGTTCATCGTTTTAAGCGTAGGTAGAGGGTTTTTACCGTTGGTCCCGTTTCCTACCTTTGTGACGTCATAAGTATCATAGGACTTTACCTTAGTGATGCAATATGGTCCCAGATATTAGGTTTTAACTTTAAACCAGATTCTGCTTGTGTACGTTTAATAGCTACGAGATCGTCAAGATGGTACTTATGGGGATCTCTGCGTCGTAGATTGTAATAGTTCTTGTTTTCGCATTGGACTTTTCGAGCATCTTTCAATTGTCTCCGAGCATCTTTCAATTGTCTTCTTGTATCATCATAATAGCGAATCGCTTAATTGCTTCCTTCATAGTGAAATCTTCCTTAGATTTCATCCTAAACCCTATCATTAGCTCGAAGGGAGTGGTGTTGATAGTGCGTTGATACGTGGAATTCAAAACTTGTTATAGTTTGGACACATTTGATGAGTTCATTTACTGACATCTTTGCAAGTACCGGGATGATTGTCCGGTTAATCCTTTCGACTTATCCGTTGGCCCTGGGTAAGCCCACGGTGACTTTAATGTATTCAATATTTTCCTGCTGGCCATAGTCCTCGAAGCTTCTATCAGAAATAATTCGATATGGATTGCCGAAAATACTTTTGTATTTCAATGACCTCTTTTGATGTTACTGCCTTAGTGGGATATAACCACACAAATTTTGTAAAAGTATTTATGACTGCTAAAATATATTTATAATTCTTGTGAGTCGTCTCTCTAATAGTTTTAAGTCCATGTGGTAGGTGTGTAGTGGCACGTCACCTTTGCTCAATGAATGTAAATATCCCTCTTTTCAATGCATCTTTTTATTAATTAGAATGCATTTAACACAGTTTGCAATGCATTTTTCGACTTCTCTGTGAAGATTTGGGATAAAAAACTCCTATTTCATTTCTTCCATTCGCTGGGCGGCAAAGTGCCATCTTTCGTGCATTCTTTATGATTTCGTTTTGCATAGCACTAGGCAGTACGAGTAAATCACAACCATATGAGCATTTGTAGACTAACCCGCTTCGTAAACCAAAATTTTAATATGGGCCATTCTCTAATTGCTTCTTAATGCTCTTAATGATCTCGTTGTTGTCTTGTGCCTTTCTCGTCTTAGGAATTATGTCGTGAATAGATTCCATCATCATAACAGGATGACGGCTAAGCGCGTCCATATGCTTTAAATGTGCTTCCGACCGATATTCAATAGTGTAATTGTATTCTTCTAAGACTAGAGCCCATCTTGCTATTCGTGGCGTCTTTCTTATGCTTTTTTATGCTCTTAGTTTGCTGAAATGCTGCACAGTCAGTGATAATCTTGAATGTTTTTCCTAAAAGATAGATTCGGAACCTGTTAAGGGCTTCTACTACTGTTAGCGCCTCGAGTTCATAGCTGGAATATTTCTTTTCTGCCTCTGATGTTTTTTTGCTCATAAAGTACACGGAATGTAGTTTACCATCTTCGAGAAGTTTGTGTAATAACGTAGCTCCATAGCTGTCCTGGCTGGTATGCACTTCCGTCTTCCGTATAGTCTTAATTATAAATGCTTTGCAAGTTCTTCGGTTAAACATTGTTTCAATCGGTTAAGTGCTTCGATCTCTTCTTTCTCAAACCGAAACACTTGATTTTACCTCAGCAAATCGGTTAACGGCTTGGCAATCCGGGAGTATTGTGGAATACATTTCCGGAAATAATCGATTAAAACCTAAGAAACTTTGTATTTGTTTAATCGTTCTCGGTTCTAGGAAGTTTCAGTTCTGCCTTTGTTTTCTCCGGTGAGGGATATAACTTTCCATCCTCAATAACATGTCCTAAAAATTCAATACGTCGTTCTAGCAGTTTACACTTTTTCTTGTTGATTTCTAATTCGTACTCTTCTGCTCTTTTCAATACCAATTTCAGCTTGTTGACTACTTCTTCTTCATTCCTTTGCTAGTATTATTAAATCATCGATATAGAGCAATGTGATTCTTTGCGACGCCATGTCATTGAAGATATCATTAAAAACGCTGAAAAACAGCTGGCGAATTACAAAAAAAACCATAAGGTACTTTTTGAAATTGATATTGCCCATCATGGGTTATAAAAGCTTATATTTCTGACTACTTTCGTTTATCGGCACATGGAAAAATCCATTCCTCAGCTCTAGAGAGCTATACACGCGAGCATCTTGCAACCTGTCTAAAATATCTTCTATTAAGTGGATAGCGATTTTTCATTATTATCTTGTTGCACGATAATTTATGCAGATTCGTGATATCTCATCTTTTTTTTAGTTACCACTAGCCTATTCTGATGAACATGGTTCAATAATTCCCTCATCAATCCATTGTTTCACTTGTTCGGTCACGATTCTTCTCTCAGGAAACGGTAATCGTCTTGGTCGCGCATAGATCTTCTAATCCTCATTTAAAGTAATAGTCATCTCAACATTAGATGTCTTGATCTTTTTAGGTACATAACTATTTAAAATATCTTCTACTTTCTTTCTTCTTTCTTTACAAATTCTATGCCATAGGTACATTTAACATAATAGCGTAATTCGAGGAAATGATATTATTCAGTTCGTATGCCTTATGGATGGTGATGCTATCTTTATTGATATTTACTTCGGCTTGCGACAGCAATTCACTTCCAACAGCTTCCATAATCATAACCTCATCTGCTACTATAAATCATCACGTGGAAGTATTCGTCATCAATAGTAATAGTAATCGTGAAGTGTCCCATCGGTGTCACTTTACTTCCACCAAATCCAGAGAATTTCAATGTGGAATTTGAATACCGATGCGCTTACTTCCTTTATACAAGCTTCGATTTATGATATTGAATTAACTGTCTAACAGTGCATTGAACTTCTTATCTTTGATCTCTATTGTTTTGTACATATCTTTAAGGGCTCTAGGGCTACTTACAGGTTCAGACTTCTTTGAGTCATCTTTAGTATCTTCCTTCAACTTCTTTGGTTTCTCGTTTTTGCAATCAAATGATTTATGTCCAAATTCATTACATCTAAAGTATTTGGCACCTTTATTTTTATTATCACATGTCGTTGAATTGTGGCCTACTTCGCCGCAATTAAAACAGCTCTTCTTTCAATCTCTTCTTTCGAGTCTTTTTGTAGTTTCTTTGTTTACGTTGATGTTCGAAGTTTTACTAGTGTTTGCACTCCTCGGTTTCATCTTCTCTATGCTTTCAACTTTTCTTTGAACTCCTTCATATTTCTGGCTCCGTGTAGGACGCTTTTGTTCATAGATTAATCATCTATACCATCAATAACATATTAAAATAATGCTTCTTCTTCTATTTCGCCTCTTGCCGCTATTTCCTTCATAGCCAGCAGGTATGCTTGCATCGATTCATCTTTTTTTATCTTCCTCTTATCCATTAGTCGGTGTAATTCAGCACTATTCACTTTGTCGCTGAATTCGTCTAGAAGTGCCTTTTTTAATTTCTTTCATGTAGTTAAGCCTCGTTCTCCTTGGATGTACAGTTTGACTAATCCTCGTAATGACTTTTTGGCAAATATCATCTTTTGTATATTTGTCCAACCATAAAGTTCAGATATCTCTTCAAAATCCGAAATCCATCATATTACCGGATATTTCTTCTCTACTAAAGCGCCTGATTGAGTCTTCTACGTCCCTAAACGTCATTGCAAATTTATTCCTCATATCATACTTTTAGTCCTACCTGATTGATCATTGTCTTCATCGTCAGTATTCAATTCATTTCTCCGTCCTTGTCTTTATCCTCATTAACCTCCTCCGCTTCTTCTTCGTTAATCTCATCGTTATCATCGTCATTGTCGTCATCATCGTCTTTTTCAGCATCCTTCCTGTCGTCGTTCGCTTTATCTAGCATGTTAAGATCTATCAGATAGTTGCAAATTCGTTGACTTAGCTCTTTTTTGATGCCTGTGTTGTCAATCGCCAAAATATTACAAATTGCTACTAAATCTCCCCATCCTAGATAAGTATTCGCGTACAATAGCTTATCTTTGTGCTCGTCTGATTCGCTGGCAAACGTAAAGCTGCCGAATTCACGAAGTCGTTTTCGATTACCGCGATCTCCTTTTTGCTCGAAAACTAACCTAGCGCCTTTATGATTTTCGTGGAGCCTATCTTAAGGTTATTAGCTATTATCTTTATCTGTTCCAGCCTTTCCATCGTCTTAATAGCTTTAATCATCTTTACCTTGGAAAAAGCTTTCACTTCCGTCGTCGTTTTGTCAATCTAACCTCGAAATTTTCCAGATGTTCCGTCGTGGATGTGCAATGGATGGATGTGTCGGCTCTTCTTTTCTCAATCAGATCCCGGGACAACCCGCCAAATTTGTAGGGATTCGACGATTAAGGGAAGAGCACATTTATCATTAAAGGATTAGTAATAAATAAGTCAAAATTACACACAGAGAGTGTTACAGAGATTCCCCTCTTTCCTTTTCCTTCTTTTTTCTCTCGTTACTGTCGCCATTTATCTGTTCTCTACACAACGTTACAATTAAATTTTATGTATATCATTATACACATCATATATTATAATATAAAATTCTAATATTGCACAAAATGGACATAGAGAATATCTGCATGAATATTCTAATAATTTTTAATAATGTATGTTACGCGTATGCGTTAAACTCTCGGATTCTAACTCTAACACACAGATATATGCGACATACACAATGCGAGCGAACGGCAATCTTCTTTATGTTAACGATCACGCGGCGGATCAGAGGAAATTTTGGCGCCTATGATCTCACATTCCCGAGGCTTACAATCGCTTATCGCGTCGTAAAGATTCCGCGTGACTGAAAATCTATAGTTACGTATATTACATATTTTCAGTACTAGCAGTCTATGTCGGTATACAATCATAGTATCACTTTTTCCTATGAGCAATATCATTTTAGATCAGATGTAACATGTATCCTGCAAATTATCATCATGAAAATATTTTCCTTCCTATATAAATGTTATTTTTTTAATAATGGTGATTGAACATCATATTAATAAGTAAATATATTTTACTGAATGTAATGTACTTTTAAAATATTATTTTATTATTTTTATGATACATTCGGTTTTCTTTCAAAGAGCCTCTAATCATATTAGGTGTACAACTTTGCTTCCGCCGTTTTTTTTCCGAAATTCGAGGCTTTATTGTAAAACACTGATTATACATTTATGATTCAAAGTATTGTCCGCTGGCCATTATTTTCTCCCATCTTTCGGACAGCGTACGAATCCCACGTCGAAAAAACTGGTCATCTTTTGAGGCGATCCACGAATCGATCCAATTTTTTACTCTAAATAAGACCGGAAGTGCTGGTCAGGCCGTGTGCCATTGATCGAAACAAATGATAGTCAGAGGGAGTAACGTCTGGAGAATACGGCGGGTGGGGTAGGACTTCCCATTTCAATGTTTCCTAGTATGTCTTGACCACTTTCGCAATATGGGGTTGAGCATTGTCATGAACATGATTGAGCATTGTCGCAAAAACACTTTATCGTGTCTCTCGTTGTATTGCGGCCGTTTGTCTTTCAATGCTCGGCTCAAATGCATCAATTGCGTTCGATACTGATCGCCTGTGATTGTTTCAGTCGATTTTAACAACTCATAATACACTACGCCGAGCTAGTCCCATCAAATACAGAGCATGACCTTGGAGCCGTGAATATTCGGTTTGGCCGTCGACGTGGAAGCATGGCCGGAACTCCCCATGATTTTCTGCGCTTGGGGTTATCGTAATGAACCCATTTTTCATCCCCAGTCACAATGCGATACAGAAATCCCTTCCGTATTTGTCTTTCAAGCAGCTGTTCACAAGCAAACAAACGCCGTTCAACATCTCTCGGCTTCAATTCGTACGGCACCCAATTTCCTTGCTTCTGAATTATTCCCATGACTTTGAAGCGTTTTGAAATGGCTTGTTGAGTCACTCCCAATGATCGCCAATTCTTCTTGATTTTGACACGAGTCTTGATCAAGTAATGCCTCCAATTCTGCATCTTCGAAAACTTTCTCTCTTCCACCGCTATGCCGGTCTTCGACGTCAAAATCAAGTCTCCTTCAAATCCATTCTTGAAGCGTTGAAACCACTCACGACACGTTCTTTCATTAATAGCGGCCTCACTATAAGTATTTGAAAGCATTCGATGAGCCTCAGCCAGATTTCTTCATATTGAAGCAGAAAATTAAAACCTCCCGCAAATGACGAGAATTTGGCTCGTAAACTGACATTTTCAATCTAGAACAACTTTATGATGCAGACACAAATCGACTAATGTTTCTATGGGATTATGTTGACAGATGCCCAAATTTATTGTATGACGTCTATGATCTATTTATTTCGACCACCGTTTATCGCTAAAGCTATCTATAGGAAAACGGCGGAAGCAAAGTTGTACACCTAATACTTATTTGCCACAGAATGTATAATATCTTTTAATATAGAATAATAAAAATTTAAGGCTAATAAGAGTCGACACAGGACGAGATGCGTAATTTTAATGGAACGGATGGAATGGATGATGACTTAACTCCAATAACTCCGTGATGTCTTTTATTCAATATGTGAATAAAGAAGACATGTTGAATGTGTGAATAAAGAAGACATGTTGAATATGTGAATAAGGAAGACATCACGGAGTTATTGAAGTTAAGTTATCATTCCACATTAAAATTACGCACCTTGTCCTGTGTCAACTCTTATTAGCCTTGGTATTATTTTAAGTAGTGAAAGTCCGATTAAGATTTTCAATTTTATTTTAATATAGAATTTAATATAGAATTTTACTTTACCGCGTTATATATTTGATCATCAGTTTGTATTATTTTTTAGTTTTTCCAGGAATAAATCTAGAAAATGCATTTAAAAGACGCATCAATAATAGAGCTGCATCAATAATAAAGTTTTTTTCAATAATGTGGATCCAAATACGGTAAACGCTAAAGTCATGTTATCCTTTTCTTAAATAGTCGTTAAGAAAAAGATAACGTCACCGTGGTATTGATTATGTATCTTTTTCTTTACGGCGAAAATATGAAAAATAAAAATTTTTTGTACGTGTGTACATACACATGCATACATACATAAAATTTTTCACTTTTCACATTTTCGTTCTAAAGAAAAAGTTATTTGATCGACTTAGCGTTCACCGTATCTGGATAAACAGTATTGTAAAAACTTCCTAATATCGAAAGTTATTGTTCATTATAATTATCGTATTATATTATTATATTGTATTGTGTCAATTATATTGTAAATGTATATATATATATATATATATATATATATATATATTAAAATAGAGATTTAGATAATAATAATCTTATCGGCTTAACACCTAATGGAAAAAATGGTTTACGCAATTTTCAGTT